TCTCCAGATCCCCTACCAAACCCAATCCTAACTTGGTTCATGGATAGAACTTTAACTCTCACCCCAACGGGGTCCCACAGGATGGGATATGCCATAGTATCTCTCACAGATGTCATCAAGTCAGGACCCCTACCACTTAGAACCATGTCACAAAAAGCCAAACTTGTGATACTCACCAGGGTCCTAATTTTAGCCAAGGATGACCTCTTACTCCAGCATCCCTCCCCTCTACATGACTATTTACCTGCCTTCACCCTTCTAAGGAAACTACTCAGGGAACATGCTGACTGGATTATTCCCCAGGCTTCTAAAAGCCAAAATGACCACCCACTTCAACCTAGAGATCATGCCTACCTGGAGGTTCACACCCAACAGAAAGGAGTGAAGAATACCCTCCAGCCACTTTGGACTGGTCCTCACCTGTTGATCCTGCCTGATCCTGCCTACTCTGACAACAGTCAAGCTCTCAGGACAACTTGGTTGGATTCACCTCTCCAAATTAAAACCAGCGAAGGAACACAGCAAGTACTAGGCCAAGAGTATCAAGTCTCTTATATTAAAAATCCCAAGGACACTTCCCTTAATACCAATCCAGGAATGAGTTTTCTATTGACCCTATGTCTATTCTTCTCTCTGAACCCCACCTCAGCCATTCTCCATTACACCTACCCACCATGTTTCTATTAATTTGAAATGAGACAAAGATAATATATAGATAATCTTAAAATTTCTGTAGTTTTGGCTTAGTCAACTAGTATATAGCACATGGTAATTAAAAGTACCAGACTGGTGTAACTAAACTTGTTGGATGTTTAATAGCCAAACTTTATGGCCTATATTAATCTGGCCAGAGGGACTTAAAGGGACAAATTTTGTTCCTTGCTCTCCAAGGTCTAACAAGTTCCAGGGGACTATAGAGCATCTCTTGAAATGTCTTGTAACTTTGGTGAGTCACCTGTTCTCTTGTTCAGGGAGGCCATGGAGTCCTCAGAAGATGGACTTTAACTAGTGTCCAGTCTGCAAAGAGGAGGGTCAACACAGAGGAAACATTTCCCCTATGCTTCCAAGAGAAGCCCAGGTCAAGCAGCACCTCTTGACATCTTCATGCAGATGGAACTGGTCAAAGAAAAGCCTGAGGATCCAGGAGCTCCCACCAAGCCCATGTAACACTGGAGGACAAAATTCTCAAAATCCTTAGGAGTAAAAGTAAATTGGCTTATTTGGGCTAACAGTATGGTCTTAAACACCCAAAAGGAAAGTATAACCAAAAATTAAAGTCATCAGTATATTTTAAGATTTCAAGGGATTATACAACCCAGGTATTAGACTTAAGTTCTTATGTTATTTAGACAATTATCTCTTACTGATAATTTTGTTCCTAATAAGACGCTACTCAGGTGTAAGAACTCAAACCTTGGTCTTCAATATTGTAGTGCCCACTCATATCTAAGGGAGACAACCCACTATTGTTCTAGCCTAAAAAATTAAATGATGACTAAATTCGTTTTCTTTCCCTATCTAGAAGCATTTGAGAGGTAACCGACACTGATTCTAGTACTCCATCACCTATCAAAATGCCTGTAAACAAATCCTGGGTCCATCACTCTCGAGCCCAGCCTTTTCTGAATAAAAAACAAAAGTATTACCTTGGTGCTAACCATTGCTCCTTGCCTCTTCAGATATTTTCAGGACCAAAATCCAAAAACTAGCTCTTACTCTCCTACTAGTTTTAACCAGTTGTTACTTTCCTTCCCTCTACATGTATACAAGAGCCTGTCAACCATCGAGGACCCTGTTGAGATGCACGAGGAGGGAACCCCCATTGTTTGATCAACCCCTAATCCACCAGCCTCCCATGTCGACCTTGTCCGGCAGGAAGTAGCAAGATGACAATGATGCCCCCTATCTTATAACGCAAAAAGCTGAAATGTTAGGACTCAGATACAGAGCAGCCCCCCTCACACACACCAAGAAGGCCTCACAGTTCCACAAGCTCCTGTGAAAATCACCTTGGCCTTTGAAATCAAAAGCAGACTTTTCTCCCATTTGGCCAAAACAGCAGGATTACACTTTGATCTCTAAAGGGGGCAGGTTTTAACAGTTCTGCTCTCCCTCTTGTCCCTGCCTAATCTTAAAAAATATATCTTCCCGACTTCTGCACCTTCCAGAAGCCTTGCCCTATAAAAGACCCCAGCTCATGACCCATGGGCAGACATTTTCCCTACGGAGGGGAATTTGTCCCATGTGTTTTTTTTGCTCATAAACTGTATTCCGCTGGAGTTTTATCTGTGTCTTGGTGTTTTCTTCTGATCAACCTGATTCATCCATCACCTACTTCATCTATCAGTCATGGCAGATAATCTCTTTGATGTGTGTCCATATGTAGTTTGTGAGTATTTTGTTGAGAATTTTTGCAACTGTGTTCATTAAGGGTATATGCCAATAGTTTTCAGTTTTGTTTGTCTTTGCCTGGTGTTAGTAATAGAGTAATACTGACATCACAGATGGAGTTTGGGAGTTCTCCCTTTGTTTCAAATACAGGTCCATGACACAATTCCAAGACACAGTTTCAAAACACATCTTAGGGGACAGATATCCTCTGAGTTTGGGCCCAGTTCTAAAACCTAATTTAAGAGTCAAGCTGTTTCATTCAGGCAATGTTAATGCTGTGCATAGGATCAAGTTTTGAGGAAGACCATTGATATATTTTCTTCACTAGCAGCCTTTATTGCACCTACATAGCTAGCCTACAGGGAAAAGTATGGCTGGTTAGTAGAGGTTGATATCTATATGTCCTAAATCCAAACTGTCTTCAGCAATAGGATCTTACTATCTAGTTATGGTATGCAACCAAAAATAATGCCAATAGCTTGTGTTGCTTTAGATGTCTCTGGGGCCTCCCTAACCAATAATTTGTAGGGACACCCACTGTAGCATAATTGACCTACCAGGGGCCACACCATTAAAGAAAACTGACTATTCCTCCCCCAGAAATCCTCAACTGTCAATAGTTTCTCATTTAGGTGTGGGACTCATGAATCCCTTTCCACTCCATGCTAGAATATTGACTGGCTAGATCTTGTGCAGATCTCGTACAGATAAAAACAGCTGGGCTGGAGAGATGGCTCAGAAGTTAAGAGCACTTATTGCTCTTGAATAGGACCTGAGTTTGATTCCCAGAACCCACGTGGTGGCTACTAACCATCTTTAACTCCAGTTCCAGGGGAGTCTGAAACCCTCTTCTGACCTCTGTGGCATTGGATGACACAGTTGCACTCACATACATGCAGGAAATACACTCATACACATAAAAGGAAAATAATAAATAAAAATACTAAAAGAAAACAGCTGTTGTGAGTTCATGAGTATGGATGCCCTGTCATACCCAAAATGCTGTTTTGCTCCAGTCTTCCACGGTTTTCTGAACCTTGCAGGTGTGTGATATAGTTGTATCATTTGTAGCTGAGCAGCATATATAGCGTTTTCTGAACCTTGCAGGTGTGTGATATAATTGTATCATTTGTAGCTGAGCAGCATATATAGCACTATCTAGTACAATGAAAGTTAGCAGGTGGGGCAGAAGCTTCCTAGTTAGTACCAGTTTGATTTATCCACATCCTGTGACAAAAGTGTGTATTGCCTTCAGCTACAGAATTTTTCCATTTAGTTCTTGTGGGCAATTTAGCAACGACAATAGCCTACATTCTTTGAGAGGTCTCTGGAATGCCTCTGGCCAACAACCCAAGGATAGATATTCCATTCTAAGCATAGGGTTTTTTATTTGGCAACTTTTGTGTAGGGTTCAATTAAAGATATGCATGTGTGTTTCTATAAATCTCATAAAATAGTGAGTTTCCATATGCCTTTTCCACACATCCTTAGTGTAAACCCCCCTGTGCCCCACTGAGTAACAGTTAAAAGCAGCAGGTCAAGATACACCCATGAGTGCAGTAGTGGCATTAATGCTATCAAGGTAACAAATCACTTTCAGTTTGCTTTAAGGCCTGCTCCTCCAGAGGAAATGTATGCCTGGTATTATAAATCTGGTCAAGAATCCATTATTGGAGAGCTCATAGGCTCCAAGGATGAAGCTACTGCTATTATATTGCTAAAGTGACATAATGTCAAAATGTCTACTTTCAGTGCAATAAATATATGTATCTATATAGATGTGGTTTTCTGAGAAGTTATGTCTTCATAGACCAGAAAAAGAAAATGTTTATTGCTTGCCTTTTTGTCTTTTTTAGAAAGCATTTCTATTTAGAATAAATATCATTAATACATAATACATGCATACATATCAATTTCTCAATTGTTGATTATCCAATACTCTTACAACCGACATGAAGAAATATTAAATTGCTATCAAAATATCTGAGTATTTTATTGCAAAGAGAATAGCTAGTAAAATTGAGGGGTATGTTTCTGTCAAGACTACTGTAAATATTGTTCACAAAATAACATTGTTAAAATAATATTTTTATTTCCATGATTATTTTTGCAATATCTTTATTTTAAAATTTACATTTTTTACAACTGTCAAGTGCCCAACTCACTGGTCTTACCTCATTCACATTGTTCTGTAGTTTTCACGATCCATCTCAAGAGAGTTTTCACCTCCCAATTTGAATATTTGTACCCAGTTCTCTAACTCCCCTATATGTAGCTCCTCATCAGTGCCTACTACCATTCTACCATTAAACATGATGGGAACTTTAATTGAAAGAAAATGTTAATTTTACCAGAAAGCAAGAGTTACAAGATAAAATGTTGAATTCCTATGCATTTCTCAACATAAATTCCACCTAGATTCCATCAGTAAGATTAGACTTCTCTACAAACTGCCCAGGGAAATTTTCATTCCTCAAGCTGTAGATGAAGGGAGAGAAGAGTTGAGCTCACAGTGTAAATAAATGAGCCTCCAAACCTTGTTTAGTAGAATGTGACCGTGTAGAAACAAAGTACACACCAGCACCTGTTCCATACTATAAGCAAATAACTTACAGGTAAGAGCCACAGGTGGAAAAGGTTTTATATTTGATGCCTGATGAAGGAATATAAGAGAACAGGATCCAAGAGATGGTGAAAAGCCCATATATGGTAGCAAGAACACACTTGACAATGCTCTTAGAGATGGTGTCACAACAGGCAAGACTAAGAACTTGAGAAGACTCACAGAAGAAAGTGGAGATTTCCACATCCTTTAAGCAGGTGCTGTTCAAAGCAATTAAATACTGTGCCTTGGAGTACAAAAGACTAGCCAAAACCAAAAGCAAAGTGGTGCAGAGGTAAGGGGTCATGAGTACTTGGTAATTCAGAGGGTGACAAATGGCTACAAATCGATCATAGGCCATCACTGTTAGAAGCATGTCATCCACACATACAACAATTGTAAAAAGAGACATCTGAGTGAGGCAGCCCACATAGGAAGTCTTTCTGCTGTAAGTTTAGTTGCTCACAGTCATCACTGGGAAAGTAATGGCGATGAAGGAGATGTCAGAAAATGACAGCTTTCAGAGGAAGAAGTACATGGGGGGGGATGGGAGCCACAAGGATGATAATTAGATTCCCAGGACCTGCCTTAGGTATGTGGACAGGAATAGCCCAAAGAGGATGGGCTTCCGTTCAGAGGAAGAAGTACATGGAGGGGATGGGAGCCACAAGGATGATAATTATATTCCTAGGACCTGCCTTAGGTATGTGGACAGGAATAGCCCAAAGAGGATGGGCTTCAGTTCTGAATCCTCTGAGAGACTCATTAATTGCATGTCATGGATATGTGTTAGATTGTATAATTCTGTATTGTTTGGACACCATTTGGAAAAAAACAGTGGGTGTGATGAAATACCCATATAAACTAACATCACAGATACCCAATAATATAAATACTTTCATTGAAGTATCTACCACCGAAGTATTCACATTTGACATAATCCCTACATCTACTTCATTTCTTTTTTGAAAATCTCCATGTGTTTAGACACTCTCATTGCTGTTTCCCTCATTAATTCCATTTCTGATTTCTGTACATTTAGCTGAATGATGTAGAAAGACCATGAACATGAGAGATAAGAAATCCACTATCAAAATAAAATGAAGTCTAGTATTCTAAAAAGAAACTGTCTCATAACTTTCCTTATTTTGAAAGAATATTTTTGATATAAGATAACTAAGAAGCATTATGTACCTGATTTTACTCTAAGACATTGTAATGGATATATTAATTAGCAATAATTTTTTCTTGTGTGTATGTATGTGTGTGTGTTTATACACATTTTGACGTGTATGTGTACATGCATGTGAGGGGGACAGAGTTCAATGTCTGGTGTCTTAATTGTTGTCCGCTGTATTTTTTGAATCTGGAAATGGCAAATATTTAGGCTGAGTGTACAGGGATCTGACTGTCTCAGGTCTTCATGTTTGTACAGAAGACATTTCACAGAATAAGACATCTCCCTAGCTCAAATTACAATATTTTAAACTGTGCAGGTTGCATTATCTGACACCTAAATTAATGTTGATAATTTGTAATTATCGAACATTGTGGGACTGTAGAGATTGCTCAGTGGCAAAGAGTACTGGCTTCTCTTGCAGAGGACCTGGGTTCAATTCCCAGCACCCACATGGTGAGTAACAACAGTTCTAACTCCTGTTCCAGGGGACCTGACACTGTCTTATGACCTCGGTGGGCATTACAAGACACAGGTGCACTTACATACATGCAAGCAATACCCTTAATATACAAAAATCTTAAAAAATAAATTTTTTTTCTTAAAAAGTACATCAATATGTGTCAGGTATTTGATAGGAGTTTAATAGCTTCATGACATAATATTCATTCTTTATGGATTTTTTTCCTTAAAAAATCTAATAAATACACATATAGTTAAGAGTGATGTTTGAAGTCTATTGAATATATTTTAATTAAATGAACACCATCAAAGACATCAATGACCACAAATGTGACATTAGTGCATGTTGTTTTAATGGTGACACCATGCCTAGTACCCATGTAAGCTCAAACCAGAGAAAATTCCAGCATAGAAGTGGGGAAGTGGGGAGGGAAAGAGGCCCAATCATAGCTGTCAAACTATTGGCAACCAAAGCTGCTGGGAGAGGAAGAGTCCATTTTCTTTAAGGATATGACGCTGGGTACATTAACCAGGCTCCCTTGGAAGGACCCACACCAAAAGGGCATTTGTAGAAACAAATTTTACCTAATAGATCAAAATATATTGTATGAAATTCACAAAATATCAAAAAAATAAAAAAGAAAATCTCACACTAGTACTACAACTTAGGAACTTTTTCCTGGAAAAAAAAGGAATAATTCCACCATGGTGAAAATGAAATATTTATAAATGGAAATGTTAAAAGATGCT